AGAAGTACCATTTGTGTACAACCAGTATGCAAGTCAGCTTCCACACCTTGAGAGTGTGTATGCCATATGCTGTTATATTGATTCTTAAATCAGAAAGTCTCTCAATGTGGGTCTTGGGGCCCCACTTTAAAGGGGTGGGGGAGGGAGAATAATAGGCCTACTGCCCCCCCTAACTTGGGGCCCCACTTTAAAGGGGTGGGGGAGGGAGAATAATAGGCCTACTGCCCCCCCTAACTTGGGGCCCCACTTTAAAGGGGTGGGGGAGGGAGAATAATAGGCCTACTGCCCCCCTAACTTGGGGCCCCACTTTAAAGGGGTGGGGGAGGGAGAATAATAGGCCTACTGCCCCCCTAACTTGGGGCCCCACTTTAAAGGGGTGGGGGAGGGAGAATAATAGGCCTACTGCCCCCCTAACTTGGGGCCCCACTTTAAAGGGGTGGGGGAGGGAGAATAATAGGCCTACTGCCCCCCTAAGTAGCATGTTCATAAAAGATTATTAATTAGGGGTGTTTCCTTCACAGTTGAAATGCATCCGGGACAAGGAACCAGCAGTCTGCATATAATTAAGTCAGATCTGTAAAACAGTTCTCGCGTAAAACTCCCAAGTTCTGGAATAAGACTGAAGTCAAGAAGTGAATGAACAGCCAGAACTTTCCAACACAGTTTACAACTGTTGAACGCTAAGTACAAAGAGAAATCAGTAAATCAGTACTTTATGTTTTTTTAATCTTTCATACTGCATAATTTTGATATAAATGTTTATTTTTATTGTCTTATAATATTGTTCTTCATTTAGGCGGGGAAAGATGAAATTTACACACTGGTATCACATGTACAAGAGAACAGCAAAGCTTCTAAAGGTGGACTGGCATTAGGCGACTTGATTCTCTCTGTAAACAACACACCTATGCAAAGCAAAGAGAAGGTATGTGGTTGATAATTCAGGCTTATTGTTAAACAATATGAGCTTTACTGCGTCAGTATCAGTCTGATGCTTCTCCATAGTGACAGCTGGCTGTAGTGGATCTTCAATACAGTCCTCTCTCTCTCTCTCTCTCTCTCTCTCTCTCTCTCTCTCTCTCTCTCTCTCTCTCTCTCTCTCTCTCTCTCTCTCTCTCTCTCTCTCTCTCTCTCTCTCTCTCTCTCTCTCTCTCTCTCTCTCTCTCTCTCTCTCTCTCTCTCTCTCTCTCTCTCTCTCTCTCTCTCTCTCTCTCACTCACTCACTCACTCACTCACTCACTCACTCACTCACTCACTCAACAATCTCTGGGTGTACCATCGCAGATTGTTGTCTGCCCACCTCCTTTATGTTCATGCTATCCAGGTGTTCATCTCTTTTTCCATAATCTTGCCATAGTCATTTTTTTTTTTTAATCTGTCTCGAAGAGTATTTCCTCATTGAAGTGCTTCTTAACCCTTAATAGCTGCAGGGCCACTGTGTGAGACCAGTAATGCTGTACCAGGCAGCCACCTTAGCACAGCCCCTTTAAATATTGTTCTCCTCTTTTGACCTCTTGCTGTAACATCTTTGATATTTCTAATCGTCACGGCATTCTACAGGCCTTCTCATCTCTTCTCAACATGACTGAAAATGATGAATGCCTTGTGGGAGACTGGGTCCTTCACTCACCCACCCACATTTGACAGTTGGTTACTTCCTAACCATGGGGTGCCCCAGTATAACTCTGCTATATGTTTGAATCTTAGACCAAGAAGAAGCAAACACAGACATGCTGCATAATCTGAGCCTCAAAGAGAATTGTCAGAATTGTGAAACTGTTTATAACCCTTCAACCGCAGATACTGATTGAACGTAGAACTACCTGGTAAAACCATAAACAGCCAACAAATGCTAGGGTGGTTTGTGAGCTTAATGGACATACTCTGGATTTTCTTTTTGATTGTTGTTGTTAGGTATTATGAGTGTTGGGGACATTCTGGGGTTATGACTCTCCCCAAACTGGATCTCCAACTTGAGCTTGCCGTCTAGGGTTCAACTCTCACTCTGGCATAACAAACAAAGGTCCACAGGGTACTACCACAGATTTAGACTCTACTCCAAGGGGTAATTTCACATCCTGTTTAATTTGAACAAAACAAATGAGATGGTCAATGAGAAAATGTCAGACGACTACAAATGTTTTGCTGAATGACAGCACAAGGGCATACATGACTATACTTCTAGCCAAAATGGAGGATAAGGCATGGCAGAATGTTAAGCTTCAAAGTTATTATTGTTTCCAACAGCGCTTTGCTAATGCAGTTTCCACATAAGGTCGGTAGTCTACGGTTTCGCTGCCTAAGCTACTAGGTTTAGTGTTTGGTGCAGCCCTGTGAGCTGTATTTTTCTTTGGAATGACTTTCTTTTGTGCAATGGTTGTGTCATGGTATCATTATGGCGGGTACCTCTCATCTATGTTGACACCTTTACTGAATTTTGCTAAGTGGTAGAACGTCCGCTCTATTTTTTAGACTTTCAGCAACTAATTCCCACAACTCAGCTACTCTCAGCTTTTACCCTGGACGTGCAGGCAGTTCTCGCAAACTGTGTTCTCTACATTTTTCAGCAAATCTCTTTGTTGCAGTAAAAAAAACACTTCACAGCAATATTTCTGGTGTGACAGCTTTCTGTCCACAAGAAGTCTTTTTTTTGCCACTTATTCAGCACACATCTCTGGCTCTCCCCTGTCCATTCATACACATTCTTATGGACTTCCATTAAAATCCTGTAAGTGACTCCAAGCAGTGAGTCTTTATGGCTAACTGGTTAAACCATTTGCCTCACTTCTAAAGGCCATCAGATTGTTTCACAAACTGCTTTGTTTGGATCAAGAATGATAATTTTATAGGCATCCCTAAGTTTGGTCGATGGAGCTTTGTGAGAAGCCCTTGCTGGGTGAGTAGCCATTCTGTGAAAAGAAACTGTATGCTCCCTTTGTGAGTTTTGGGGCCCCATTTGGGGGTAAAAAGAATAGACCCACAGTCCCCTATCAAGCATGACATACAAGGCGACTGATCAGGGGTGTGTGGCCTTAGAAGTAAGAGTGCATCTGCGTGAGGGTTAAGGAACCTACAGTCTGCGTATAAATAGGTCAGATTTGTAAAATGGATGAGCACACAAAGCTCAAGTTCTGGAGCAAGACTTAAGTCCAGAAGTGTGCAAACAACAAGAACTTTTTCTTCTGAGTTTACAGCCGGTGAATACGTGGAAGAAGAAGAAGAAGAACCGTGTGCAATCAAGTCGATTCTGTAAACTTTAAACTAATGTTTATAAACATTTTTGTGTGTTTAGGTATCTGAAGTAGACATCAGAAACCAGAGCAGACTGAGGCTGCAGATCCAGCATCCTCTAGAGATTTCCAGCAAGGCAGCATCTTATGTGGAGCAGCTCTGGAAGTCAATGATGCGGGTTAGTGATGTGAGCTCCTTCACACTAAACTAGTCAAATGCCCCCCCCCCCCCCCCCCCCCCCCCATGATGCGGGTTAGTGATGTGAGCTCCTTCACACTAAACTAGTCAAATGCCTCTCTTTCCCCCTTCTTCCTCCCCCCCCCCCCTTTTTTTTTTCAAGAAACTATATGACCACGGGGAGTAATGATCATCTTCTTCTTCACTGTAAACTTTACCGGAAAGTTCTGGTTGTTTGTCCACCTCTGGTCTTGTTGCAGAACCTGACTGTTGTGAGCACTTTTGTTTTACAGAACAGACTTATGTGTATGTGTATGTTCCTTGCCTCTCAAGCAGATGCACTCCAACTTCGAAGGAAGCCCCACTTAGTCGACTCCTTACAACATGCTTGTTGGGAAGGCAGTGGATCCGTTCTTGTTGTCCCCACAGTAGGGCCCTGAAAACCACTTGGGGAGGGAAGAAATAATGACAACCAAATTGCAATGTTTTTTTTTTTTTAATAATTTTTTTTTACATGGGTCACAGTAAACGCCTTGTGCAGGCAAATTGCCAGGTTTCTTTAGTGCATTCAGGCTAAACATAAGAAGTACAGTCACGATGGGCACTTGAATTGCACCCACGAATAATAATCAGTGGCTCACTATCTGTTGATTTTTACACATCAAGATTTGACATTCATACCAGGTTAATTGATTATGACACCTGAAGAATAACAATTCACACAAAGTTAATTGATCGTTACACGTGAAGAATAACCATTCACACAGAATTAATTATTACACTTGAAGAATAACCATTCACACAGAATTAATTATTACACTTGAAGAATAACCATTCACACAGAATTAATTATTACACTTGAAGAATAACCATTCACACAGAATTAATTATTACACTTGAAGAATAACAATTCACACAGAATTAATTATTACACTTGAAAAATAACAGTTCACACAGAATTAATTATTACACTTGAAGAATAATCATTCACTCAGAATTAATTATTACATTTGAAAAATAACCTTCACAAAAAGTTAATTATTACACTTAAAGAGTAACCATGCAACAAAATTAATTGATTGTTACACTTGAATTAAAATCATGCAACAAAGTTAATGTTACCATCAAGATTAAACTTCACACAAAGTTAAATGATTATTACACATGAAGATTAACTATTGTCACACAGTTAATTGATTATAATACATGAAGGTTAGCCATGCACACATCATTGGTTACTCTTGTAGATTAGCTACATGTGTGAAGTTTATTTATTATTACACCTTAACCAATAACTTATACAACAAAGTTAACTCATAAAGATTAAACGTTTAAGTATAGAAGAAGGTAAAGTAATTATTGAGTAGAAATGAAAGACTTACATTGGCTTATAAGTACTTAAAATAACACATGCTGGAGGCTGTAAGAGGTAACATTTTGTCTCCAGTTGCTTTTTTTTTTTTTTATAAAGATTTGATTGTCTGATAATTTAATACTTAAGTACAAACATCTGGGGATATAAGTACTTTAAGTGACACCCGCCTAGACTATTAAGAGTTAAATTTCTGAAGTGTTCTCTTGTGTGTTTGCAGGAACAGATGTCAAACTCTTCTGTACGCTTGCCACAGCCTCCAACTCCTTCTACCAGTCCAACAGCTGCTTGCTTGTCGCCGTCTAGAGAAAACATACCCTTGTTCACATTACCAAAGTACGTATTAATTAATAAGTGCTTTTTGTTTTATGCAGTTTCATTACCAACCATTTGGGAGCCTTTCAGAGCATAAAGAGGGAAGTATGACAAGGATGTGTCATCTGCATTTTTTAAATTATGCAGTGAATATATAATGAGATCTATCGTGTATATGCCAGGAATTGTGGTTGGTGGTCATAACATAAACAACCTACGTTATGCTGATGACACCATCTTGATAGCAACCAGTCAAAAATAACTACATGGCTGGATAGATGTGGTGGGGGTAGAAAGTGATAAAATGGGCCATAGCTGGAATAATGGGAAGACAGAAGTAATGCTGATATCCAAGAAATGAATAGTCCCTAAATGTGTAATAAAAGTCTGAGGCATTATTGTAGGAAAGATATAGAAATTTAAATATCTAGGCACATGGATAATATTTTGAATAATATCATTTTATTTGTATTTCAAAGTTGAAATAAAAATTTCAGTGTTTTTTGTTGTCATTTTATTTGTATTTCAAAGTTGAAATGAAAATGTCAGTGTTTTTTTTTTCTCCATTTCAGACCAGAAGCAAAAGGTAAAATGCGTTACCATCAGCTTCCGCAGGTGCGAATGTTTGTTGTGGGCAATGCAACAAATGAATTTATTCACACTTTTATTGGTGATTTTATTAACTTACATAATGATACAGGAGCACGCTGTTTTCAAATTTCTGTGAAAAAATGTGCAGATGGATCTGTATCTGTTGGCAATTCAGAGTCTTTCAGTTACCTTTTTGAGAACTCTTCAGAATCGTGCATTAATGTTGAACTTATATCAGTCGCTGATGATTCATTTTTTCACCACTGTTGCTCATGGATGTTCACGCCAAATTCAGTATTTATTTTGACCTTTGACACCAAGCGTTTGTCACTTTCGTCTGAGGTGGAAATGTCACGACTGTGCAGTTTAGCCAGCACAGCTCGAACAGGCACTTCTGGAGGGAACTCATATCTTCAGCTTTATGGGGTCATAACTTCAGATGACAGTGTTAACCCAGAGGAGGTTCAGACTTTGTTTTATACATCTCTCGGTAATTCTCTACCAGAGCCTCAAATAATTCCTTCAGCAAAAGGAGAATTGCATGAAGAAATCAAGCAGTGTCGGCTAGACATCTTCTCCCTGCTCGGGAACATTTGTGATGGACAGCAAGTGACTTACCCTACTGCTGTTGTCTTAGATATGCTTGTGTCCCATCGGAGATTGACCGCAACTGTCAGTGACTTAGCCAGAACTCTGGAGAATTGGAACCCAGACCTCCAGCAGGTTGGGCCTGAGGCATTGTACCGAGTTATTGAGGATCTTAGGAACACTGGAAATCTTCTTGTTATAGGTAGGTATATATGTGTGTGTGTGTATAAAGTATGTGTTTGTGTAAAATAAAGAGAAAGTAAAGGACCCCTGACACACTGGGCATATGATGCTAGTCCTGTATTTGTATACATCCATTGGCACTCGACAGAAGTGCAAATGAAGTGTTACTCTAGGCAATATCATATATGTGGTAATCGGCTACCTTCCTCACTAGTTTTCATTCCCAGTCCGTTGGTACAACAAAGCATGGCATATGACACCACATCTCTTGTGTTGTGACTGAAGGTGGAGGCAGTCACAGTGGCCTTCCAATGACTTGAGTGAGAACCAGCTGCACACACACATATTGTCTATTTAACAATCTCATAAAGCATGCTGAGAAAAGGTGGAGATAATATTGCTCCATGCTGAGTGACAAGCATGGCTTCAGGTGATAATCATGATTCAGAACTCGTGTAAGTGATGGAAGATGAAGTTAAGCCGAGACATCCAGTTTTTTGTTTGTAATGTTGAACTCATTGCCAGTCAGAGAACAGATACAAAAACAGATTTTTTGGGGCCTTTTAGTGAAATAAATTACATTTTCTATTTATCTTAATATGCAATTTTCTATTTACCTTTCATCGTTTCTATACACATGTTCCAGGCTCAATCAATGCCACCTGCACCTCAGAGAATGTCAAGGAGTTTGTGTTGCCATGTGTGCTGTTTGATCACCTGTCCCACCTGGCAGAGTTTTCTGAAAAAGACAGGGTCTCCATGAGGCAGCATGACACCTGGATTGACCTCTATGATTGTGGGATTGTAACCAGGTAATCCTGCTTTCTAGATTTTATGGACATTAATATTGTATTTCTTGATTGGCTACTAGATGGGACAGGATTGGATTTATTCATTGTCTAATGAAGAAAATGGCTTTTAATGCGATGTCTAAGAAGAATACTTGGCATTAAGTGATAGAAGCTGTACGATAGACATGGCCAATGAGACACCTTTTTTTGGGGGTGCCGAGTTGACCATGTATCTTAGTGCACTTGTATTCATGGCGAGGCGCAGACGCCGTCTGGAGGTGACAGGTTCAATTCCCGGCACGGTAACTATAGCTTTCGATTTTTATGTTGTCTAGTGTGTTCTTCTATCTTTCTACTTCTTTCTATGAGTGCCGTTCACAATACTTTCTGTTACTTGATTAATTCATAATATTTAACGGCCTCAAACGGTTCCCCCCTCTGTTTATTTATAGGAATGACGTATACACACCGGAACCTACCAATCAAATACCTTTCTTAAATGTTTGTGTATTCTAGACAAAGCAATAAGGTCTTACTGTGTTCGTAAATTGTTGCTGTGATTGTTATTCGACATTTGCTTCGTTAATATAAATTTCTGTAACCTATGGTGCCATTTCAATGGGTTGAAATGAATTCTGTCCGTATTCCATAGTCGTGGATTTCAAGCTGTACGATAGACATGGCCAATGAGACACCTTTTTTTGGGGGTGCCGAGTTGACCATGTATCTTAGTGCACTTGTATTCATGGCGAGGCGCAGACGCCGTCTGGAGGTGACAGGTTCAATTCCCGGCACGGTAACTATAGCTTTCGATTTTTATGTTGTCTAGTGTGTTCTTCTATCTTTCTACTTCTTTCTATGAGTGCCGTTCACAATACTTTCTGTTACTTGATTAATTCATAATTGGCATTAAGTGGCAGGACAAGATTACAGACAATACTGAGGTATTGGAAAGAGCTGGCATTACAGCAGTCTTCTCAGTGCTTGGTCTGCTAAGGCTCAGGTGGATGGGTTACACCTGGAGAATGGAAGATGACAGTCCCTAAGGGCATCCTCTATGATGAATTAAAGACAGGTGGAAGATGTCGAGGCCAACCTCTACTGCGATATAAAGATATGTGCAAGTAGGACATGAATGATACAGGTATTAATGTGACCTCGTGGGAATAAAATGTTGTGGGCCATGCTGTGTTGAAAGGGCACATCAAGAAATAAATGAGAATGAAGGAAGAAATTATTGCAGAAAGGATGAGAGCTGAGCATCTGAGAAGAAACAGACTAAACACAAATGTTGACAACAACGATCCTGAAATCCCATTTATAATTGTGGAAGACTCTTCTTAATGTGGGCGGGTTTTGCTCGTCACACTCGCCATCACCACGGGCTTTGAGTATGATGTCTCCTCATAGCGCAATATAACACTATTGTATGGAAAGACAGAAAGGTGCCAGTCAATGGAGAAAAGGGATGGAGCTTGTGTAGGAATGTTCTGAATTTAGTTAATATCAGTTGTTATTTAATTTGTTCATTAGTTGATCATGATTTTACTGTGGTCGTCTAGCAGAATTATTTTTGTTTGGAAGTTGTAGCATTTTAGTTTTTACTTTAAGAATACATTGTGTGACGAGATATTGGATATTTAACAAATCATGTGTAGGCTCAAAGACTCCTGCAGGTACTGTCAGGTTAAGTTTTTTAAATCCTATCTCAGATGGCTCAAAAACTTGGACATAACAGGTTTTGAACTTGTATTCTCAAAAGTGAGAGGCTAGCTTCTTAGCTACTCAACTGCTGCTGCTTCTCTTTGACTTGGTAACAATTGAATTTCTTGTTTTCGTCAGAACTGAGCTCTTGGATGTTCTCAGTGTATGCACATCCCACCCAGAGCTGCTGCTTCGCTGCATGGAGGACTTGAGTATGATCTTCCCTGTCAAGGCCCACAGTGTGGATTCGGGATTTGGGGACAGCAGCAACATCCTGTTTGCCTACTTCCTGAAAGATGTCCCTTTCACCAACGGCCCAGGAGAAAGCTATGAGCTGTTTATGACAGTTGAGTTTTCTGGTGAGTTCCTGAATTTGACCCTAGGAAAATATGAAATGTAGATCTGCCTGTCCCTTTGTCCAAATATCTTTTCTGCTTATCAGTCTAACTGTCTTTCTGCCTGACTCTCCATACTATTTCTTACTACTCTCTGCCTGCTTAACTATATAGTGTCTTATCTGTCTCCCTCTTTTCTCTCTTTGTCTTTCTCTCCCTCCCCCACTTTTCTGTTATCTCTCCCTCCCCCCCCCCCCTGTCAGTTTTTTATCCCCACCCCTTTTCTCTCTCTCTTCCTCCCCCCCCCCCCCCACTTTTCCTCTCTCATTTTCCCTGTCAATTTCTGACCCCCCCCCCCCCCCCTTTTTTTTTCCCACACACACACCTTACCTCACCCCCCTCTCCAAGTCAGTTTCAACTCCCCACTTCCTTGTGTGTTTCAGACACACAGACATTGTCCATGTGTCCTTACTTCCGCAGGAATATCATGTCTATCTTCTTCTTGAGCGCCTTCCTGATCTTATATCACATTTTCTTTGGTGTCTCATCCATGTGGGTAACTAATGTAACAAGATGGTCAGATCATTTGATTTTTTTCCAATGTATCTAACAGATGCAGTACCAGTATCAAACATCCTTCTCATGAAACGCCTTATAATGTCATCATTATTTAAAGAGTACACTTAAAATGTATTAAACTTAACAAGTTCTGCTCCTTCAATCTGTTGGCAGTTAATTCGTAATCTGTGCAATGTTGAATATTCAAAAGTAAGTTAAAAGCATAAATATCCAGTGTTGAAATTTAAAAACACTGTATTTCCCATTTTATAACCCAGTGGGTTGAACAGACATAGTTGATTAATTTACTGTTACTTCTTGCAGAATCTAGAAATAAGGTAAAAATTGGCAAAAAAGGTCATGCAAGCACACACACAAGCCAGAAACCAAGCACACACAACAAGCCAGATACCAGCACACACAACAAGCCAGATACCATCACACAACGAGCCAGATACCAACACACACAACAAGCCAGATACCAACACACACAACAAGCCAGATACCAACACACACAACAAGCCAGATACCAGCACACACAACAAGCCAGATACCAACACACACACAAGCCAGATACCAGCACACACACAAGCCAGATACCAGCACACACAACAGGCCAGATACCAACACATACAACAAGCCAGATACCAACACACACACAAGCCAGATAACATCACACACAACAAGCCAGATACCAACACACACACAAGCCAGATACCAACACACACAAGCCAGATACCAACACACACAACAAGCCAGATACCAACACACACAACAAGCCAGATACCAGCACACACAACAAGCCAGATACCAGCACACACAAGCCAGATACCAACACACAACAAGCCAGATACCAACACACACAACAAGCCAGATACCAGCACACACAACAAGCCAGATACCAACACACACAACAAGCCAGATGCCAGCACACACAACAAGCCAGATACCAACACACACAAGCCAGATACCAACACACACACAAGCCAGATACCAACACACAACAAGCCAGATACCAACACACACAACAAGCCAGATACCAGCACACACAACAAGCCAGATACCAGCACACACAACAAGCCAGATACCAACACACACAACAAGCCAGATACCAGCACACACAACAAGCCAGATACCAACACACACAACAAGCCAGATACCAACACACACAACAAGCCAGATACCAGCACACACAACAAGCCAGATACCAGCACACACAACAAGCCAGATACCAACACACACAACAAGCCAGATACCAGCACACACAACAAGCCAGATACCAGCACACACAACAAGCCAGATACCAGCACACACAACAAGCCAGATACCAACACGCACAACAAGCCAGATACCAGCACACACAACAAGCCAGATACCAACACACACAAGCCAGATACCAACACATACACAAGCCAGATACCAACACACAACAAGCCAGATACCAACACACACAACAAGCCAGATACCAACACACACAAGCCAGATACCAACACACAACAAGCCAGATACCAACACACAACAAGCCAGATACCAACACACACAACAAGCCAGATACCAACACACACAAGCCAGATACCAACACACACAACAAGCCAGATACCAACACACACAAGCCAGATACCAACACACAACAAGCCAGATACCAACACACAACAAGCCAGATACCAACACACAACAAGCCAGATACCAACACACACAACAAGCCAGATACCAACACACACAACAAGCCAGATACCAACACACACAAGCCAGATACCAACACACAACAAGCCAGATACCAACACACAACAAGCCAGATACCAACACACACAACAAGCCAGATACCAACACACACAACAAGCCAGATACCAACACACACAACAAGCCAGATACCAACACACACACAAGCCAGATACCAACACACAACAAGCCAGATACCAACACACACAACAAGCCAGATACCAGCACACACAACAAGCCAGATACCAGCAAACACAACAAGCCAGATACCAACACACACAAGCCAGATACCAACACACACACAAGCCAGATACCAACACACACAACAAGCCAGATACCAACACACACAAGCCAGATACCAACACACACAACAAGCCAGATACCAACACACACAACAAGCCAGATACCAGCACACACAACAAGCCAGATACCAACACACAACAAGCCAGATACCAACACACACAACAAGCCAGATACCAACACACACAAGCCAGATACCAACACACAACAAGCCAGATACCAACACACAACAAGCCAGATACCAACACACACAACAAGCCAGATACCAACACACACAAGCCAGATACCAACACACAACAAGCCAGATACCAACACACAACAAGCCAGATACCAACACACACAACAAGCCAGATACCAACACACACAACAAGCCAGATACCAACACACACAACAAGCCAGATACCAACACACACACAAGCCAGATACCAACACACAACAAGCCAGATACCAGCACACACAACAAGCCAGATACCAGCACACACAACAAGCCAGATACCAGCACACACAACAAGCCAGATACCAACACACACAAGCCAGATACCAACACACACACAAGCCAGATACCAACACACACAACAAGCCAGATACCAACACACACAAGCCAGATACCAGCACACACAACAAGCCAGATACCAGCACACACAACAAGCCAGATACCAGCACACACAACAAGCCAGATACCAGCACACACAACAAGCCAGATACCAGCACACACAACAAGCCAGATACCAGCACACACAACAAGCCAGATACCAGCACACACAACAAGCCAGATACCAGCACACACCAGCCATTTAACAAATTGAAGCTTGTAACAATGGAACCCTCCAGTATTTGTATCCTGCAACAGTTAAAACCTCCAGTAGATGAACCTTTCAAACAACTGAACCCTCTAGATTCTCAGTTTAGTATCCAATTGATGTTTTACATCTCTGCAGATGATGTCCCAGTATCCTCCTTTTTTGCCTTTCTGTCGGAGCTAAGTCAGAGCCATCATTGTCGTTCATTTAAAATGAGGGCACAGTTTGTTGCCCACATGGTGCTGCAGGAAGAGGATGTTTGTTTTTATTTCCTGAAGACAAGTCGACAGATGCAGATTTTCAGAAACAGGTTTGTTACTTTGATAAATAAGTCATAAATATCTCGTTCTTCTCCTGATACTCTTGCCTCTACTCAAATTCCTCCATCCCACCCTCTTTTTCTCCTACTGCCTCGTCTTTTGATAGTCCATTGAGCATAGGGTGCGGTGGACTATATCAGAAGTTACAGCATCCACCTTTCACCTGATGCACACCTGAGCCAGTTGAGCTTGAATGTTTCCAGAATACAAAAGAAGATGTTATACTCCCCCCTGACCTGATGTAGTGAATTGAACATCTAGCCTTCAGGGATGAAGAGAACTACAGGTCCTTGTGCACATTGCGCAACTGCAAATTCCTCAGCCGTTAGAAAAAAAAAGAAAAAAAGCAGGCCAATATATATATATAGCCGGCAGACCGCTACTGCTGTGAAAAGACTGAAGCACTTATGATGATATCTATAAGCAGTGAAGTTATATTTTACAAACCCAACCCTGTTCACTTCTTTTTCTGTAGTCAGTTAAATGCGGTTTTACATTCTACAGGTTTAAAACAATAAATAAAGCTAAGAACTCTTTTTATGCCTCAGGAACATCAGGCATATGGTAATCGACTCATATTTGTATATACCTATCAGCAGTCGTGGGATGCCATCAACGTTATGCTGGTCACTTTTACTTCCCAGTATATTACCTGGTACCTATTTAATTAAGCTGGAGTGACCTGAAGACCAAGGTCAATTTTTGCCTCGATGCTGATTTAAGCCCAAAATCTTTTGGCTGGCTGGTGAGCATCTGGCCTCTATGTTACAGGGGCTCCCATTCTATAGGCATTTTGGAACAGTTCTGCTGGGGATCAAAATAAGCCTGAACTTTAGGGGAATGTGATTTCAAATATTTGCTTCAGACCAGACCATCTTGAATGTTTTTGGACTCTGTACATGATTGCAGAGATCTCTAGGAGACGTTGGAGCTATAGAGTCTTGTGTGTTGTGCAACACCTCCACAACTGCTCAAGGTATAAGATCCAGTTCAATAAAATCGATTTTCTTGCCTTTAAACACCTTTAAAGTCAGAAACTGCAGAAAGAACTGCAGCCAAGAGGAGGTGATGTGCCTGTTTGTAAAGCTTTGCTAAGATAAAATGGGGTGAGGTGCCTTATACAGTCTGGCCATTAAATAGTGATTTTAAGACTGAAGACTGATTTTATGGCCAAAAATGAAAATCCATTCATGAAAACAGACAAAGCACATTTATCAAAAATGAAAATCCATTCATGAAAACAGACAAAGCACATTTATCTGAAATTTGGCCCAATTGCATTTCTGCTAGTCAACAAATGACAACTTGACAAGTCATTGTGTTTAGTTAGTGAAAGTTGTGCTAAGTATGCAACATGGAGCACAGAGCAAAAATTACAGATAAATTGATGAGATCAGTACTTATCTCATGTACAGGTAGGTATTCCTGAATCAAATATATGTGGACATTGTAAAGGGGAAACTGGGTCTGGGATGTCCAGTTTATGTTCGTAAAAGTAAACTCATTTTCAGTCAGAGAATAGATAAATGGAATCCTGTGTGGTTTCCTGGGCCCGGGAACACAAGAATAGACCCACTGCCTACCAAAAAGCATGTCGTAAGAGTTGACTAATTGGGAGCTTCCTTCGAAGTCAGAGTGCATCTGCCTGAGAGGCAAGAAACCAACAGACTGCATACAGATGAGTTAGATCTGTAAAATGGATGCGCACCCAACACTTAGGTTCTGGAACAGGTCAGCAGTCCAGAAGGGGACGAACAAACAGAACTTAACGCCAGAGTTTACAGCTGGTAAACGCTAAGAAGTAGAAGATGCATGGAAATCTGGTGCTTTCTTAATATCCCACCCCAAACAGGGAAAATCCACAGGTCACTAGACAGTCTAATATTTCATGGGTGTGGTAGATAGGCTGCATGCGGTCCTGGGACCTAGGCTGCATGCATTTGTGGGACCTAGGCTTCACTCTTTGGTGGGACACAGGTGGATTGGGGTTAGGGCCAGTTCTAGATGTTTTAGGGTCGTTAAAAGCATCAGAAAGCTGGGAACCCCAGTCTTACCACTCTCTTAAATGTTAGACTGTCCTGTGACGTTATCTGGGATAGGATATTATGAAAGTACTGGAAATCTTACTGTGAGGATTTTAGCAGGTGAATTTGATGTTAACCAAGAGGTACCTTTAAAATGTTAGTAGAAAATTTGGGCAGGAAAAGATTGCTTCCCTGTTTATATCACATTCGTGGCGCGGTGATTTCGGTCACAGGCATGAGGGGAAGTTAAGTCTGATGTGATGTGTATAAGGAGATATTCCGTACCCCACTCGGGCGCCAGTCCTTCACTGTTCTGGTTTTACGGAACCTCATGCAAGACTCCTGTTGCACGTCCCCGTCGTGCGCCACGGATAATGTCTCAAATGAGCATTAACAGAGTTGGCAGGGGATCTCGGAGCTGGCGGCCCCTAGAGGTGTAGTGTCTTTCTGGCTCTCACCAGCCCGCCCCCAAACGCATGGGTGAAAAGTAACAAAACTCAAGGATTGCTTGCTAAATGTACCAACAAATGACAACTCTTGGTTAAAATTCGGGAGCGAATGGAAAACTGTGCTGCTGAGACTCAACCCTGACCGAGAGATTTACCCGCAGCCAAGACGAGTAACATCTCTTGTGGGCGATTTCTCGCAGCAAGATCCTACCTACGTACATCCTCTGTCAATCCTCAGTGTCGTCGTCACCGCGCTGAGGTACACCATGGCAGCAACTACTCATATGCTGGCTTGAAAACAATGTCCGACAAAGTTACACCCCATGGCACACATGCAAGCTCAAAGTCCGACGATCATAACTCTTACCGATTAGGAAAAGTCTGAATGTCCGTATCCACTGGTCCAACTCGCCCGAGTGTTGGGACCAAACAGGTGAAGCCACGCCTGACGCATTTTGCTTCCCCATTCTGTCGTGCTAAGGGCACAGCTGAAACAACGTTAAAGGTGTCTGACGTAAGATGAAAAAGAATGTACCTATTTGTGTGGCCACAAACGTCCTGGACCTGCGGGCTGCTCCCCGCTGATCTCCGGAGAGCACAGCCTTGTAGCACGGGAAGCTCAATACACGGTTGTGAGGTTAAGCAGTCATGGGCAGGACATGACGATTCCTTGGGTGAGCCCAGAACCAGAGCATCATGTGTCGGCTCTGCATTTATGGAAGCCTCCTTGGATGGCGGGGAATGCCCATGATCTGCCCCTGCCTTCCCTTGAGGGCTGACAATTCTACATAGGGCTGCTTTAAGGACGACATTTCGGGGGCCAAACCTGTTGAGGTCAAAGAGGACACCACACAAATGAGGCAACATCTCGACCCACACAAAACAATGGCCACAGTCAACCTAGAAATAGGCTTGACGTCTTCCTCCGAAGTCGGAGTACATCTGCCGGAGAGGCGGGGAACGAGAACTGCGAACAAATAAGCCAGTAAAACGGATGTACACGCAAAACTCAGGTCAAGGTAAAAGACAAAAGTCCATTTTGGACGAACAACAGCGACTTACCGCCGGAATTCACAGCCGGTGAACAAGAAGAAGAAGAAGAAGAATATCACATTCTTTGTCTCGTAATCAAAAATGTGAATTGTATATGCTAAAGACACAGCCTTTTACTTTTGTACACCAGTTTTAAATCTTACATACCACCTAAAAATAGTTTCTGATATGAACACTGATCTCCGTAAACTTGCCTCATAAATTTACTTGTCTCAGTAACACAAACTTGCCTTGTAAATTCACGTGCCTCAAGAACACAAACTTGCCTTATAAATTCACTTGTCTCAGTAACACAAACTTGTCTCAATATAACTTTTTCTAAAACATAATTGAATGTTCACCCTTTGCTCCATGGTGCATATGTGACCACACACCTGTCACTAGCTAAACAAAATGGTGGGTTACTTATCTGCCAGATGTCATTTATGAGGATTATTTGGTCTGTTCTTTCTTATTCTAAAAATGTGGTCCTGGAAGCCACACATGTAGTTAATAGACTGAAAATCTGCACATATAAGTGAATATAAGGGGAAGAAAGCCAACAGGTAATTATCCGTATGCATTTAGACCTTTCAAAGACGTACTTTTGAACATAAAGTACATGTTCCATATTGCACAGGAGAGGATGAGAGAGGGGTTACATAGATGTATACTTCTGTCCTTTCCAGTCAAATTTCATTACATATGTGTGTGTGTGTGTGTGAGATCATTATCGTGCCTAACCATCTGGAATCTGTAATCATACTTCTTGACATCTTATTGCCAACAAAATACGCACGAGTGTATATTATCTTTTTTTTTTTAATATTTCTTTTTTGTTTTGTTGGGCCCTTCATATCTGATTTCAACAGATCCTTTATTATGACTTGTTTGTTAAAAGGGCAGCAATTTTGTTCTTCTCCCCCTAAATTAGGACCCTCTTATAAACACACACACACACACACAGGGAACAAAAAAGATGTATTTTGCAGTAAAATTTCTAATGACATAAGCACAAAATCTCCATATAGGTAGTTGGGGGGGGGGGGGGGAGTGAATGATATCCAGTGCCCCCACTCAACAAACATTTTGTAGGAAATGACTAATTTGGGGTGTTTGCTTGAAAGTTGGAATACATCTGCATACAAATAAGTCAGATCTGTGAAATAGATTAGATGTGCATGCAGAACTCAAGTTCTGAAGAAAAAAAACATACTGAAATTCAGAAGTGGATGAACAACCAGAACTTTCCGCTGGAGTTTACAGCCGGTAAACGGTAAGAATAAAAATAGATTATTATTATTAATTGGACCTAGCTTTTGAGACCCATCAGCCTTTATAAAACTGGATAGTAGTCAGCTGGCAGAGTTTTTTGTTTTTGCCCTCTTGAATTAAAGAGGAAGGAAGAGGAAACCTCAGTAACTTTATTTGATGTCGAGTTTTAGAAAATATGCAAGCCTAACTGTAGATCACAAGGGCTCTGCA